ATTCATTTATTTTCCAGACTTAAGTATTATGTGTCATTTAAATATAATTTTACAATCGAACTATACTTAATGCATATACAAAATTTTAATTATAGACGTATTCTTACTAAGTTGCGTTTAGGAGTCCTTGAATTAGAAATTGAAACTGGTAGATGGTCAAAAATTGATAGATTATGCAAACATTGTACATTAAATTTAGTTGAAGATGAGTACCATTTTACTTTAATTTGCACTTGTTACACTGATATTCGTAAACATTATATATTCAAGTATTTTATTGTTAATCCATCCAAAGTTAAGTTAATTAATGTCCACTACTGATATCAATACAATAAGTTGTTTATGTAAATTTCTTTATCACTCATTTAAACGTAGAAGTGATCATTCCCTCTGTAAATAGCTATTATATTTTATTTGGGCCAAAGGCCTTATATAAAAAATGAAATAAAATGTCCTTGGCCAATACGTGCCAAGGAACGAAAACGGATAAATGTAGGAGGTTCTGGCCGGCTGTGAGCATCCCACCTGGATTAATATGATGTCCTACCGTCGATGTTAGATACATTATACTGTTATGTATCAACAAAGCCCTTTTGGATCAGGGTGCTATAGAACGAGGACCCTAGTGGACCCTATGGGTAGTGGCACCGAAGGGGCCCCTATGGGTTGGTGGCCCAGGTTCCCCTGGTTGGATCCGCCCCTGTAATCATGCCAGTGTTGTATCCAGGGGTGCTTGGAGTGCCTGAGCACCCACCTTCAGAGGTTGAAAAAAAATAAAAGGATTTACTGATACGCCTTTTCCATGAATTGGTAATCATCTTGAAGTGATGAAAAACTCCCAAATCAGTGGTCCGTAACCAACAAAAATAAGATAATCTTTGAGGCTAAATTCTTGACCTCATTAATTCATAACCCTGTAACGGAGGGTCGTATCACATTAATTTTATTTTAAATGTTCTTAAAAGATTATTCTACACCATTGTATGATTGAAAAAAAATGAAAATGTTTTTGACCTTTGAAATCAAGATGGAAAAATGAACCAAAACCAGACTTAATCTTGAAATTTATTAATTAACTGTACTAATATGGAATTTTCGCAAGCTTACGCAAATGATAACGAATACGGTTACATCATCAAATTTTAGACAATTATCTAGTAGGATATCTGTCACAAAGTAGGCAATTGATGCCTTTTGCATGAATCAAGGATCATATTCAGCTAATACAGCATATTGTTTGAGGCATGAATGACAATAACAACAATGACGTATTCGTATTTGTCATCGTTTTTGTAAGATTGCAAAATATCCTTATTGTTGCAAAGTAAACCAAATTTAAATGTCAACATTTTGCTGACCCGCTACCACAGCAACCGCTTGAGATATGTCACTGCTTATACCAATATGCACAGCATGAGTAAATTACATAATTCAACAATGCTTATTAAAATGTGTAAATACTTTGATCTTGACAGACTTCTTACCATTTCAGGAAATCATGGCAAGCGCAATTGCAGGACAGCTTGCCTTGGCATTGCTTAAAGGGATAGCAAGTCAAATTGGTGCCAAAATATTCAATTCTATTTTTCCTGACAGTGGACTTCCTGATTATTTCGACGAGGTATACAAGGAAATAGCCAAAATTGTGGCAAAACAAATCGAGCAAAATACTATTAATGAAATCAATGGACAAATCAACGGAATGCAAAGTTGGGTTCGTAATGTTTATACGCCACGTAAAGATAGCGGGGCTAGCAAGCAAGAGCTTTTTGATATGATCCAAGAAAATGAATATGACATCGCAGTCCATATGGTTGCGGTCTTGCAAGACGACGCTTATGCAGAGCCCGGATTGGGTGTATTTGTCATTGCTGCTGGAATGCATTTGACCTTGCTTCAAGAATTAGCTCTCGTGGATCCCAATGTGTCGGATCCTAGCCTATCTTCCTATGCAGTATCAGTTCAAAAATATGCGGAAGAATATGCGGCTTTTGCAGATGCAACTTTCGACTTAGTAGAAGAGAAACGCACGGATAACACCACCATAACCGAGGTAGAATTCACCTCCAACAGTATTAAACCACCAACTAGTCCTTTACTCGACATTTACTTCTTTTCCAAATGGACCGACCAACATCTAGGCAAAACCTACGACGATGCAACTGTCCTACTGCAGTCACAAACGTGGACAAACGGAACCAGTGTTGAGATGGAAGAGCGGAGTAAAAAGGCACGAAGCGACCACATTCAACAGGTCAAAGAAGATCTTGTTACAAGTCTACATGATCCAAAAGGCGTTGCCAACCTATGGCGACAATTGATGGAGCAGCCAATTCCTCCGCAAGCTCTTGAGTCTTAACAACATTAACACTGAACAAGAAAGTCTGTCTAGAACACTTGGAAATTGAAATTAAAAGTAGATTACTTTAAATTCCTACAACTGAGTACTTTGAGAATCCCAGTACTAAAGTCCGCTGAACTCGGGGTGTCTTTTTAAAACATGATATTTTAAATGAGGACAAAAAATAGATGTGACACTTTAAGAGCCATTTTCCAGAAATATCGATTTGTGGGTGGCTACAACAAAAAATAGATTTTTGAAACAAACACAAATAGCATTGATTGCATTTTACTACATGAAGCCAATGTACTGTAATTTAAGATGTCAAATATATATTGATATTACTAAATGCTGCACCAGATTTTTGTGGTGCTGATGACAGTGATGACATTAAACTTATACATTTCCAAATATTTTTATTTGCTTCATTGAACATACTTTCTATAAATCCTTCTGAAGTATTAATAGTCAAAAGAATTGAAACATAACATTTTTGTTTAGTAGATTACCAAACACCTCATGCAAGTCATTAGATTCATATTAAATGGTGGGGGTGGGGCGCTTATGGAAATAGATTAAAATTGAGGGGGTGCTTATGGGAATTTGGAAAATTCAAGGGGTGCTTTTGAATGGAAAAAAAAGATTATATAAGGAAACAGAAGATAAACAAATGGTTCTGGTGCAGAAAGCATGGCTCATGACAAGAATGCTGTGGGTATTTACGCAACAGCAGATGAAATTGGTGGTGGTTATCTTGCTGGGCATTTGCTGATTGAGGTTAGCAGGATCATTGCAGGGTTTTCTTGCAAACTCAGATGAGAACATGCTAAAGGTGCATGTCGGGGAAGAAAAAAAAGAGGACTAGTTATTCCCGGCCGATTTATTGCCAAATGCAAGAAGAGAAAAAATATCCTTATTTTGAAATTGACATAAGAAGAAAATGTGAATCCACTTCACAACTCAAATCATGCCAACCACAGTTCCTGGATTATTGGCTTGCTAAAGAAATAAAATCACATATTGTTTTTAAAAAAATTGAATAAAAATATTCAAAATTTTTACATGTGACAGATTTGAGGCCAATTTATTATTGTATATGGCCATACAGTGTAACTATTTTTAATTTTAAATACTGTAGTTCTAAATCCAAGATGATGTACAGGGTTGCAATAAAACAAGAATGGAATTCTAATGATGCTTCAAAACTGAACACCATGTTAATCTTAATGGAGACTGACCGACCGACACATGGGCGGCGGAACCGGGGGGCCCGGGCCCCCCCCCCCACTTTTTGCCGAAAAATATATAATGTCTGGAGAATTTTGTATGATCGGAAATGCAAAAAAAGAAAGAGGGAAGAAGGAGAAGGATGGGAAAGAGAATGTTTATCCAGTACCCGACCGAGTTACATTTTCTCGCAATTCACTTTGGCGGATCTGGGAGGAGGGGATCATGGGTCCTGACCCCTCCCTTGTGCAACAAAAAAAAAGGGGAAAAAGAAAAGGATTCTAGACCTACCTTTTCAGAACCCGTGAGCTGATTTTTTTTTTTTCCTATTAGAAAATTAGAATTTTGAAGAACATAAAATTCATTAAAACACACTTCAAATGTCGGGAAAGCTCAATTCCCGCCATCTAGGAATTGAAATTTTCCCGGGGGAGAACCCCCGGACCACCCTTTCCTTTTGGGATTTATCGATTCATGGAAAAAAGAATACGCATGCAACTACTCATTTGTTTATGTATGTATACACACATAAAATAAAAAATGAGAAAAATTTACCTGACCTTT